CTTTTCTGAATTAAAAGCAGAAATTAAAAATTTTAGAGGGATTCCTTACGCTAAAATAAGTTGCAGTTAACACCTCACAAATCTCAAGCTTTTACCTTCAAATATGATTTTTCAGGCACAAACTGAGTGCATTAACTCATCTTGAAACCAGTACAACTACTAGACATAGTTAAATGAGAACATAATATGTGGTAGGCCTGTGTAACCTATGAATATCCAAAGTAAATACTGCCCACCATCCATAGAGGTTGATCTTAATTTGATTGACATTGCTCAGATTCCAGCCAATCACATCTTTTTGGGATATACTATGAATTAAGGAACTAATTGCCTCTAATCCCCAGCTCATGACATTATTTCTATGTTGCTTCCATGGGCCAGCCTCCTTCCCTAAGATGTCAAATATTGGTTCCATCTCTCTATGTTCCAATTCTCCACTTCTGACTTTTTTAGCCTTTACTTGTTGCAGAGAGTAAGTATTAATGACTAGTTATTAATTACTCATTACAGTAGTACTATTAATTAATTACCATAGTAAGGATCTATTACTATTATGGAGGATTTACTACTATTATCATTGTAAGGATTAACTGGTTTAAAAATGGAGAAGAAAATGGGGAAGGAAAATGGGGAAAGAAAAAAAAAGCCGAAGAGTTGAAACAAGAAAGAATGGGAACAATGAAAGACATGAGGTGCTTACGGTACATGATTTTTTGCTGCATAAACTAACAATCCTCTTAGAATGACATTACAATAAGTGTATGTGTGTGTGTTGGGAATATTGGGAGAAAGTGTACAGTACTTTAGGATTTGGACTCATCCATTATTGCTCCCCCTGGCAGAGAGTTATTGAAGTAATGTAGCCTTGGCTAAAACAGCAACTCTCTGATCTGTCCAGACTCCAACTAGTGATTCACTGATACTAATGTGCAGAATACCAATAAAGGAGAAGATTTGTAGCTCAGGGTTGAACTGTGGAGTCTTTGGTGCCTTCTGAGCTTGGTTATTTTCTTGGAGATGTTTCATTACCCAAACTAAATAATATAATCAGTGGTAGTCTAGTGCTGATGATGTTACATGGTTTGGGTATGAAACTTCTGCAAGAAAATAACCAAACTCTGAGAGCAGAGTTAGGAGTCTTAGTAATAATGAGATCATGTTGTTCTGGATATTAAAGTAATGGCTGGGCAGCCCTTTGGCAAATATGCACCTATACTGTAGACTGCATGTTGAGAATGGGGTTGGGTTAAATCATTTTTAATGTTTATTTGCTTACTAAATTTATATGGCTATACATCTTATATAAGCACTTCTAAGCAGCTAGCATAATAAATATATCAGCACAATAATGGGACATGATAAATAACACATAACATTAAAAAAGAAGCAATCAACAACAAATCCACCCATCTTCCTCCTAGTTCCCACACAGGAGAGAAAAGGACTTATGAAAGACCAGCAGAGTTGGGGCTAATCTAATCTCAGGAAAAATGGTATTCCAGAGGGTAAGTGGTGCTACAGAACATCAGGCCCATTTCCTGATGATGTAACATGAGAGTACTAAGGCGCAGCCATAAATTGCTGGTGTTGCTGCATTCTGAACTGATTTCAGCTTCTGAATTTTCTTCAAAGCAACCCCATATAGAAAGCATTGCAGTAATCTACTTGGGAGTGTCCAGAACATGAGTGGCAGCATGCAGTGCCACCTGACTTGGAAAGAATGAAATTAGTATATAATTGAATTGTCCAGAACTCTGGTAGTTCCCCAGTGCTCCAGGATCTTTGAAAAATATAGTTCAGTGGTTCTGAGATCACATCTGCTGGTTCCTTCAGAACCATGAGGTGTAATCAATCTGGTCCTGGTGATTTGAACTCATCTAGAATGGACAGGTACTCACTTACCATTTTCTTGTCTATTTTAACTTGTGTTTCTAATCTATTTTTTTACGGTACTGTTTTTGATAGGTTGGACTGTTTTTTTCTTTTGTGTAAAGACGGATGTAAAAACAAGTTAAATAGTTCTGCTTTCTCCCTGTTGCTTGTCACCTTCTTGTCACTTTCTCCCACTAATGGACCAATTATTTCCTTAACTTTTTCTTTTTTTTTACATGTCGAAAGAAGCTTTTTTGTTATTTTTTAATTTGTCACAAGCCTTAGTTCATTTTGAGCTTTAACTTTTCTCACTTCATTTTTGCAGGCTCAGGCTATTTGCTGATATTCTGCCTTAGTTATGTGCCCCTCTTTCCACTTTTTGTACTTGTCCTTTTTGCTTTCAGTTTCTTTATGCAGCCATGCTGATTTCTTTTGAGAGCTGTTATTTTTCTTCTTTGTTGGTATAGAAAAACCAAATGCACAGGTACAGTATAGGTGGTACAATAGTAGTAACTATGAAAGGCATCTTGGAGTCCTAGTGGACTTAAATATGAGCCAGCAGTGTGCTACAGCTGCCAAAAAAGCCAACACAGTGCTAGGTTGCATTAACCCCAAGGTTCCTGTAGCTTCAACACCTTTTATCATTTCATCTCTGTTAGTGAGAATTAGGTCCAATATGGCTAATCCCCTAGTTCCCTTCTCTACTTTTGGGGAGACAAAGTTGTCTGCTAGGTTTGTCAGGAATCTGTTTGATCTTCCACTTGGTGCAGAGTTTGTCTCCCAGTTGATGTCAGGGTAATTAACATCCCCCATTACTATTGTGATGTGCTTCCTAATTATCTTAGTTAGCTGACTAGCAAAAAGTTCATCTATTTCCTCCGTTTGGTTGGGTGGCCCATAGCAGGGGTCCCCAACCCCTGGTCCGTGGGCCAGTACCAGGCTGCGGCATGCCAGCAACCAGTCTGCACAAATAAGCAAAGTCCCATCCACGAGATGCAGGCAGCACACAAAACCACACACCCTCTGGTCCACGGAAAAACCTCTCTCCACGGAACCAGTCCCTGGTTGAGGACCTCTGACCTATAGTATACACCTATGGCAATGTCATTTCCCCCCCTTTTATATTGACCCAAATGCACTCAAAACTGTTTTCATCATTGTTGTGCTCTATTTGTTTAGATATGTACTTATTTTTTTATAGAGAGCAACCCCAACTTTTCTTTTATTTGGTCTTTCTTTCAAATAATTTAAATCTGTCTAGCTTTATGTTCCTTTTGTGGGTTTCATCCCACCAGGTTTCTGTAATGGCAATAATATCATATCTGCCCTCGTTTATCTGAATTTCTAAGTCACCCTGTTTATTGCTCATGTATAGACATTTTGAATCCTTTATGACCCTGTGTTTACTTTCTACATAACCTGTGTGGTGCCTGAGTTCCGTTATTTCGTTACCACCTGTTTGATTAGTGCACTTGGTGTGCACTAATTAGTGCACTTGGTGTGCACAAAAGCTTGATTTTGTTTGACAGCAAGGTTGATATTCTTATTCGCATGCACATCTATGTTGCATGCACTGATAACCCCATTATTTTTAGATTGCAGGGGACAGGAATGTTCTGTATCAATTAACTCAGTGTTCCCGTTGTTCAGCTTAAATATTTAATTCTAACATAAACAAAAATCACGTGAATAATTTCAAATTCCAATAAAACAATCTTTTACTTTTTAATTTGAGCTAATTAAGTTTCTTATCCTCTGATTTCTTAATCTAAACAGCATATTTGTCTCTAAATTATTTCTAAATTTTTCATTCAGAAATAGGGCAAAAGTTAATAATAGATCACATATTTTGCAAGCATGAATTCTATATCCACACCACCAGATTAGGTCAGCTTGTTTAGACCCCTAGAGATCTATATATTGTATAACAGACATATTAATAGATATTTTCTATTCTATATACCTATTAGCAGATGCTTTCTGCTGGAAAAGAAAAAGAAATTGTTTCTCAGAAATTTCTAATAAAAAGTACATTCAGGTTGCATACAGTTTGTATGCAGTGGATTGTCCATCATTAATATAAATGATATTAAGGTGAATGAGCTGTACTTAGCTGTTATTCTACAATAGAGAGTGTAATATACAATATATTATAGATCAATAATTATCTGCTTTTTAAATGTATTGTCTGAATTATGATTTTTCATTTTTAATCTTCATGCTTACCTACACAGAGGTTGCCCAGAAGAAATTTTTATGGATCTGCAGTGAGAAATTCCCAGTGGATTGTGCCTAATACCTTCAGAAAGCCCATAAATGGAGGAAACCAAAACAATCTCCCTTCACCACCCTTTGTCCCATCTTCTGGCTAATATTATATTGAGTCTGGCCTTGCAGTTTCCTTTTGGCTAGTTTGGCTGATAGCAGCTGATATACTCCTTCCTTGTGAATTTCTGCAATCTGCTTTTAAAACTATCTGAATCTGTAGTCATCATTGTGGAAACTAATTCCGTATTGACTGCACTATTCAATAAGTTTATTGGATAACTCAGCTTTTTAGCAATAGCAATAGCACTTAGATTTCTATAATACTTCATAGTACTTTATAGCCCTTTCTAAGTGGTTTGCAGAGTCAGCATATTGCTTCCAACAATGTGGATCCTCATTTTACCAATCTTGGAAGGATGAAAGGCTGAGTCAACCTTGAGCCAGTCAGGACTGAACTCCTAGCAGTGGATAGAGTCAGCAACAATACTGCATTCTAATCACTACACCACCATGGTTCTTTTAGTATTTGAAATCCTCCACTTTTCCCATACTACCTTTTCTTTTTCTGTAACACAGAGGAGGTACTTTGATCAGTAGGTGGCAGACTATTCATCAATGAGACTGTTAACCCGGGTTCTAGATTTTGGAATGCCTTAGTATAGTGTCTTCAGCTGCAGTATTAAAATGCAGGGTTATGATTCAATCACATACTGCAATACTAATTATACCATTTTTCTTTGTATCACTTTTGATTAATGTCATCTAACATTCATTTTTATCCCCTAAATTCATTATACACTATGGCCACATTTATTATTGCTCTAGTTTTCTTTTGCAGAGTTGTGAAACAGCTTCCTTACCTTGGCACACATTATGATCGTTTGCCTCATACCCAGCTGCACACTGTATCCGAGATGGTACCTGATCTGGAGGCGTCCGACGGATGATGGGATTACCATTTCTGCTACCAGTCTCTGATACTGTTTCTTCTTGACCATTATTGACAATGATCTGGGCTGATCTGGGTAGACAGAGGTATCCTCCAAAGTGATTAACACATTTCATTCCACCTTTACATGCTTCGTGAACAATTTCACACTCATCAATATCTGTGATTAGTAAAGACAAGAAGAAAAAGAGCTATTAAACAGAGTGAGCTCTATGTTCTTTGTTATGAATAATAATCTCAAATAAACAGTAGTTTTCAGGAAATTATCAATAATTAGTATAAAAAGTGGACTGATGAATGAACAACTATAAAACTAAGCATCAGATGACAGGTTCATGTTCTCTATTAGAGATGTGTCTATGGTTTTGAATAGGTAGTATAACAAACCCTACCTATACTGTAATACAGCAGACAGGCAATACATTCTGATTTTGAGTACGCTATTAAAATATGTATTTGATTTTGTAAATGTGTTCCCCTAACTAGAGTATATTGGAAGATGAACACTACTCTGGAAAAGAGGAGTAGATTTATTTAATTATTTTTTAAATAAAAGAAGGAAAGAGAGATGGAATCCTGGAACACATTTTCTAATCAGCAGTCATCAGGAAGGATCAGATTCTCTTACTATACCAGCCTTCCCGCCACAAAATAGCTTCCTTGTTGAAGCAATGGAGTCCAAGATTGAGGGTACTGAGTGACTTTAATCAGCCTTCTCTTGACATGGGTCAGGGGTGGCTCATGTAACACTGTCTCCTTATAAGCTTCTGAATGCAATTCAGATCTCTAAAGCTATACATGGTACAGGTCTGGTTATTGGCAGAACCCCGTCTCCTTTTGTCTCTGTTCCACTAGATATGCTTGGATCCCTTCTATGATCTAAGTCACCTTGTAGGATCCAAGAAACAGATTATCTCTATCAAGTGCTTTTCGTTTGGAACACCATATGCTCTGAGATTAAGATGGTCCTGACCCTGACAGTCTTTCATAAAACCTTGAAAACCTGGTTTCCATCATCTAAGCCTGTTTTGTAATGATTTGGAATATATCTGTAGTGTAGTCTTGGTTGTGCTGTATGTAATGTGCTTCTGTTTTTGTTTTATTATATTTTCTTTTAATGTTTTTAATCCTCCCTTAGCTAACAAGCTGCTTTCATGAGTTGGGCAGCCATATAAATTATTTAAGTAAATCATTCATATAAAATATGACAGGACTGATGAACTATTCAGCCATATGTGTGCATTTTATAAAATTGTACACTTGTACAATCCAAAAAGAACAACCCATGTGGATCATTGTCATTGGATCAAAAAAGAAAAAAAAGTATCAGGAGGTGACTCAAAACACAGACAATTGGGATAACTACTGCTATTAAAGATATGGCTCCAAATTTGAATATATGAAAACCTCTACATTTTCCCCATTGCCTTCTCCATAAACAGCTTCCACTCGGAAATCTATGGATGAAATTTTATTATGCAAGATAAGTACTTCTGACAGATATGAAAATATTAATGCACATCTTAATATAGTATACTGTACCTTTGCATCGCTGCATGAGGGGGTCCCATTCATAACCATCTGTGCATTGCTGCATAGAAAATAAACAAAATCCAGAAAAATAGATTAAATGCAGTGATGTAAAGCCACAAAATGATTGATGAATAGGCATATTTTCATTCATCACAACTATATATTATGCTTCATACAGGATTTTTAAAGAATTTTTTCACAGCAATTATCAAAACATTATCCCTGTGGAGTTCTGCATTCAATCTTTTTATACCCCACGAATCTCTATATCATCTAGGCTGCTGCATGATCTTGCTGAAATTTTGTTGATAATACTTAGAAGACTCTTTAATTAATTTATTTGAAGAATCAAAGATTAATCTATCATTAAAGTACTACACAATTATTTCTAGATAGTTCAGTATTTTAACATTTTTTACAATATTTTGTTTAAACCTCCTACCTCTGTCAGAACCATGTAAATTTAGTATCAGCCCTTAGCCTAGACCAGCCTCCTAGATTTGAATGGCAGAAGCTCAAGGTTTCCATTCCTGAGCTCTCCATTTTAAAGATGCCACAGAGACTACGGGTAGTCCTCAAGTTATTACCACAATTGCTAAGTGAAACATTGATTAATGAATTTTGATCCATTTTATGACTTTTCTTGCCAAAGTTGTTAAGTGAATCATTGCAGCTGTTAATAACCTGTTTTTTTAAGAATCTGGCTTCCCCATTGACTTTGCTTGTCAGAAGGCTGCAAAAGTTGATCACATCACCACAGGACACTGCAACCATCATAAATATGAACCAGTTCCAAGCATCTGAATTTTGATCACCTGACCATGGGGATGCTGCAACTGTTACTAAGTGTGAAAAACAGTCATAAGTCACTTTTTCCAGTGCCGTTGTAACTTTGAACGGTCACTAAATGAACTGTTGTAAGTCAAGGACTACCCGTACATTACATTTGAACATACTTCTCCAACCTGGCATCCTCCTTAAGTATTGGATGACAACTTCCCAAATTGCCATAGTAGTAAGGAATCTTATATCTTTAAGAAGTATCTCATAATTATCAAGTCATAAAACTAATGAGAATTATAATCCATACACTAAGATAACAGCAGATTGGGAAAATTGGCTTAGAAGAATAAGCATATTTTCAAGTCCCTGTCAGAACTTCCAACTAACTTTTCTTGGACTACCTTGGTTGGGTTTGGTATTCACTGACTTATATCTCATCACAGGATGTACACAAAATTTGCTTTGTGCTCTTTAAAACAAATGCTTTAAAAGAATATTTCCTTAAAGCAGCTTTCTACATATCTCTGCCATTAGCTAAACTAGATTGCAGTTCTTGTTATCCTTTGATACATTGGAGCTACAGTCCAAATTTCTGGAGGACACAAGGAATCTGCTCTAAGATGTATTGCATCTAGGATACTTAAAGTTGAAACCAGCATTCTGAATTATGTTTGGATCTAACTGGCTACTGAACTAATGATTGTCTAGTAAAAGTGAGATTTCTGGTTTAGATACAGGGTTATTTGTTGGCAAGGCTTTCTAAATCATCTCACTGGAAATCGCAGATTCTCTGAATGAATAAAAGATAATATTTTTGAAAACTCTCTAACATACTATATATTTTCTCTCTCTTTCTCTCTCCCTTTAAAATATTATCTTTACCGTGTATGTGATAGTTTCATCTGTTTCTTGTGAGTGTCCTGTAGCAAGGATCAGAGCAGTAAGGATAGCAAAGATGACCATGATGAATCTAAAAATAAATAACATCCATTTTTAAAATGCTTGATATATACTCACACAAAGATAGGCATCTCCATGCGTTTTATGTTACTTTCAGCTAAAAGTACCCTGCTATTCAATAAAACAATTATTTAGGCTGCAGCATTTGAAATTGCTGTGTAAAATAATTCCTCTTTACCTAAATGAAAAACAAGGTTCCAGGAGAAAGATTCTAGCTTTCTTCATGCAGCTAAATATCAGAACAAAAAATCCATTCAATCGTGCAATTTCCCCAGACAGGGTTTTACCACTAAGATCTAAGAGCATGGCTGAAAGCACCCTTCTGAATTTAACAGGTTTTGTAAAGAAAAAAAAATATCATTCAACTAGCTTATTGGATGGCCAGTCACAGGCAAAAGAACCCGCACTCTGTCTACTAATTATATTTAAATGTGTTCACTACAGTATGTGCACAATATTTACAATGCTGCTACAGAATAGCATCCATTTGGTAAATAAATTAAAAGGTTTGTTGTTAGCATTACTAAAATACACACAGATATGATGTTCAAGTGACCTGCTCCATCACTGATGTGCTCCATCAGATATGACATGCTCCATCACTGGAGATTTTTAAGAAGAGATTGGACAACCATTTGTCTGAAATGGTACAGGTCTCCTGCTTGAGCAGGGGGTTGGACTAGAAGACCTCCAAGGTCACTCCTAGTGGTCAATCACTTAAATATGAGCCAGCAGTGTGCTGCAGCTGCCCAAAAAGCCAACACAGTGCTGGGCTGCATTAACAGAGGGATAGAATCAAGATCACGTGAAGTGTTAATACCACTTTACAATGCCTTGGTAAGGCCACACTTGGAATACTGCATCCAGTTCCGGTCACTGCGATGTAAAAAAGATGTTGAGACTCTATAAAGAATACAAAGAAAAGCAACAAAGATGATTAGGGGACTGGAGGCTAAAACATATAAGGAACGGTTGCTAGAATTAGGTATGTCTAGTTTAATGAAGAGAAGGATGAGGAGTGACATGATAGCAGTGTTTCAATATCTCAGAGGCTGCCACAAAAAAGAGGGAGTCAAGCTATTCTCCAAAGCACCTGAAGGCAGGACAAGAAGCAACGGATGGAAACTAACCAAAGAGAAAAGCAATCTAGAACTAAGGATAATTTTTCTGACAGTTAGAACAATTAATCAATGGAACAATCTGCCTCCAGAAGCTGTGAATGCTCCAACACTGGAAGTTTTAAAGAAGAGACTGGGCAACCATTTGTCTGAAATGATTTAGTGTTTCCTGCCAGAGCAAGGGGTTGGACTAGATGACCTCCAAGATCCCTTCTAACTTTTTTCATCATCATCATCATCATCATCATCGATCATCGCATAGTCAGCCAGATGTTCAGACTGGATTTGGCATTTTTCTCTACCTATCGAGTCCTTACCCAGGACCTGGGATAGGTAGATATGGATGTTTGATGGTATTACAGATATCGTCGCAGGATGGAAGCAGTTCCTAGTAAGGCCGCCTTTTGCAATTGACTAATGGCGAATTTGTCAATGCCAATGGTGTTCAAGTGGTGCTCCAGTTGTTTTGGGATTGCACCCAAGGAGCCTATTACTATTGGTACTACCCTTGCTTGCTTTTGCCACAGTAATAGGCAATTGTAGGTTTTTGTATTTTTTTATCTTCTCCAGTTCTTTCTCGTCTATTCTGCTGTGTCCAGGCACTGCCATGTCCACTATCCAGACTTTTTTGTCATTATTATTATTATTATTGTTGTTATTAATATTATTATTATTTCAACTCTATTATTCTGTTACACAAATATTGGAAGATTTTATGAAACTTCTCCCCAAGACAGAAGAAAAGAGCAGAGCTGCTGGGATAAATTATGGGGAAGGGTTCCGAGGCATATAGCCCTAAAGGAAGTTGGCATTAGTATATTTCCAGAATTGGAAATAAAAATATAAGCATTATAATAAAGCAAAACAGATTGTGCCCAATATCTTATTTAAAGCAACGTTATTTATGTAATCACAAAGCACTTTTGTGAAATCCAGACATTTAAAAGAGTTTATTTTTTTTTAACTTTTATGGAAACAAATTAAACACCTGCAGTCATTCTGAATGTTGTAGTATAACTGCTGTAATTAAATACCAGATATAAGCAAACACAGAACAACAATCCAAAGAACAAAAATGAAATCAATCATTTAATATTTTGTTGGCCAAAAACTTTCAGTACTGTTAACAAAACTCTCTGGATTTTAATTTAAGCCACAGTGCTGCAACTGGTGACTCTGGGCCAGTCCAAAGTAGGTCACAAGGTTGTGGTTGCAGAATAACTAGGACTATGAGTACCTAAATGTAAAGTAGGGTATACAATAAAATAATATAATAATGAAAATAAAATACTGTTTCACTGATCACATTGGGACTTCCCAATAAATATGAATAGGACTGCAGTGTGGAAGTGCTTCAACGAAGATCTAGTCAGGGAAAAAAACTGTATCTTTGTGAGGACTAATAGCTTCAAAAACTCAGCATCTGCATTTACTCAAATCCCATCTTTAAATTTTGTTTAATTTGTCTGTGTCTTCACTGTCAATTGAAAGTTGAGAGTCAATAATAAGTAAAGTGACTTACATAAGAAAAGGGACACAGGAAACACATATCTTAAATCAACACCACACAGCTGCATTGGGGCTTTAGCACATAACAACTAAGCAAAGTCCCCCACTCCTTACTGGCATTGCCAAAGAAGACTGAAGTGCCAGGGTGTATGCATGGCAGGGAAAAAAAGTCAAGAGGTACACTAAAAGGGTTTCAATTGCAAGGTTGCGGTCACCACCTTACTATTTTCAAATAAATATATAATTAATAACACCTTCTATCCCTCATCTCCCTGGCTTTGGTCAGTTTACAGGTCACACTGACTTTACCCTTTGAGTCAATTTCAGTATGTTGTGCGGAAGAGCCATTAGTAAGGTGACCAACTTTTTTACAACAAAAAGGAGGACACGAATAAATTGAAGAAAAAAATATCGTAAATAAAAGAAACATTGTATTTATTGCAACAATAATACAGAATACACTATAATATGATCAATGCATAATAAAAACATTTGTAACAATAACATTTTATATTGTAATTATGCTTACATGCCTATTAATTATTTAAATGAGTACTTTTCCATTGAATGAATATTTTTTGTCAATGTATCATCTTCTAACAATATATTGGAAATATCTGAACAAGAAATATCCTTCATATTGAATTTTACGGCAAGTGCTGCAGCCAGAGTATCAACATTCAATCTCGATTTCTCACTTGTCCAAAAATCTACATGGCTGGACTGCGCGGGGGTGGACGGCGGAGGCAGGTGTTGTGAGCCAGGCACTCCAGGATGGCCACGTAGATGCGCAGGGTAAGGTGGTGGCAGCGCAGGTCAGCACTGCGTAGACCACCAGCTGGCGCGGACCATGGAAGGTCAACTGCCTGCCGCGCCCCCACCCACAGCCGCTCCGCCAGCACCGCCGCCAGCACCGCCAGCACAGCTGCCCTGCCATGGAGAGCTGGCCCCGCGACTCGCAAAGCACCAGCCGAGCCAGCTCTGGCCCTGAGCCGCCCCCAGCACCACTGCCCACCCTGCGCATCCCTGTAGAGCCGGCCCCATGGCTCGCAAAGGCAAAGCACCAGCCGCGCCAGCTCCGGCCCTGCAGCCACACCCCCCAGCTGCCCCCCAGCACAACCGCCCACCCTGCACATCCCCATAGAGCCGGCCCCACGGCTCACAAAGGCAAAGCACCAGCTGCTCCGGCTCTGCAGCTGTCCCCCCAGCACCACTGCCCACCCTGCACATCCCCGTAGAGCCGGCCCCGCGGCTCACAAAGCACCAGCCGCGCTGGCTCCCGCCCTGCAGCCACCCCCCAGCACCACTGCCTACCCTGTGCATCCCCGTGTAGAACTGAACAGGGAAGATCAAGAGAAACTTACCACTCCAGTCTCCTCCAGCTATCTGCAGAACTAAGTAAGAGATGGTATAGTTGGGTAGCAGTGAGGGGTGCAAAGTTTGCCGCCTGGGTGTTTTGACGCGCTCAGCAGCAATTCCTATTGGCTTTCGAAAGCCAATAGGGGGAGTAGCACAGCTCAGGCAAAAGTTGAAAAAAAATCATCAAAAAAAGGTCCCGGAACGCCTTCTGGGCGTTCTATGAGGAAAAAAAAGCCCTGCAGATTAGTCTTCAAATATAGAAAAAGAGGACATTTAGGAGGACATTTTCGAGGGAGGACAGAACTCCCAAAAGGAGGACTGTCCTCCCAAAAGGAGGACGATATATGGAAAAGGAGGACATTTAGGAGGACACTTTTTGAGGGAGGACAGAACTCAAAAAAGGAGGACTGTCCTCCCAAAAGGAGGACGGTTGGCCACCTTAGCCATTAGTCATTTCCACTGACAAACCATCCTTCCAACTCAGTTAAAAAGCTCATACGCTTCCCTTGGTGGGCAGATACAATACTGGCTTTCCTGCCATCAATCTCATTTTCTCTCATTCCCAGGAAACAGCAAGGCTTTATCAGATTTTTTTAAATCATCTCTACGAGTATCCAGTTTTCTTCTTCCTATCCTAGTGCTTTCTCACAGGTGCAGGGACTGCTTTTTGTATCAACAAACGTCATTTCACGTAACTCTACCAATATATAGTACTGACTGCTTTTGCCACAATCAACCTAGTTGTAATTATTTTAATTTGTCTTGATGTGAATATAGAAAATCTGATTAAAATATTAAGAAAGTGATCTGGATATGCACTAACAATAGTAGTTTCTACATCCAGTTCTTACTCTGTACTGACTGTATCATTTTGTGACAGGCAGTGACTCCATACTTGATTTTCTGACAGTAAAAGCCATTGATCCAAGCAAAAATAACTAAGCAAAACTAACTTCTTAGTAGGAAAGTACTACTGCAGTGTGAATATCCCTTAAATTAAGAAAGATTTATTTGACCAAGTGTC